AAAGGAATCATTGTCATTGTATGTCAGTTCATACTAACACAAACTGACGTGCTCTCTTAATTTTTTTTTACACCGCATCATAACTGTGGGTCTGAGTTTTGCACAACTCTCTCACTTGTTTAGATGTGTTATCTGATGTATTAGCATCTTCTGACAGTTGTTTATGTTACCCTACAGCACGCCTTAACTCTGTTGCTCTGGCTTGAAATATTCTTCACATTTCCTGTGTCTTTTGTGTGTCGGACAAAACTCTCACATTGAGAAAATAGGCCCTGCTTTGTCTGGAGGCAGCCACAGCTTTGTGTGTCCATTCACGGAGTAAGACCTGTACAGGACATTTCAACACCCTGCGGCTCCCTTTTTCCTGCCGCTCCTATGCCACTCCTATGCAGCCTACAGGGCAGCTGATAAGCTGGCAACACAACGAAAGACACACAAAATAGTTTGAAAGTAGAGCGCAGTGGAAAAAGTCTGATCCAGGAAGTCAGACTGATAGTAGTTTGAAATAGCAGTAGAGTGATACCTTTTTATTATAAAATAATTTAGAGAAAGAAGGCCAATTATCTATGATATAATCAAAAGAGTTTAAACTGATCAAATGGGTAAAATTGATATTTGTGTATTATAATTCTTACCACAGCTTTTGGTAATAGGTACAATGTCTGAGGTTGTACTAGTTTAGATTAATTTTGAAACATATATTCACATTTCCTTAAACAGCAACTTATAAAATACTATATTAGCCATTAATTGTCTCCATACTGCACTGACTGAACAATTTTAAAGTTTAATACTATTTTAATTACTCCATTACTAGTAAAAGTTATCCCTTTAAAATGTTACTTAAGTGAAAGTAGCCAATGTACTTAAAATATCAAAAAGTAAAAGTACTTATTATGCAGAAATGCAGTATGTTGGGTAGGATCATATGTATCATCAGAATCAGAATCAGAATCAGAAATACTTTAATAATCCCAGGGGGAAATCATTTTTGTTTACAAACACAGATAATACAAACAACATATATTAATACAAGCAACATCTTAGAACAAAATATAATATATATATATAACTATATATATATATATATATAAAAGATCAAATGTACAGTTTAATAATGTGCAAAAAGTGCTAAAAAATCATTTAAATATTATTACAGATGCATTAATATGTGTCAGCATTTTAATGTTGAAATACTTTATATACTGCCAGGTTAGGTAGTTTAATTTATACAATCATAACACTTACACTGATCATATGTTTTCTATGTAAAATGTAAAGTACCTGCAGCTGTTAGATAAGTGCATTAAAAAGTACAACAGAGTGTAAAGCATAAAGTGGCATAAAATGGAACCAGTACCTCAGAATGTAACCTGAGGATTGTTAATGTACAATGTAGTTATATTCCTCCACTTCTTGCACGTTAGTTATTTACTGCACACAGATACGCACAAGAGACAACTTCTGACTTAATCTAATTGGAATAGGAATAAAACAAAATTAGGTCTTTTATCTTTATTAAAATTAAAGCGTCATTCTTGATGATGATGCAACATTATAATTAAAGTCAGACTTTCTCTATTGATCTTCCATGGGTCTTAAAGTGCACACAAGTTAGTTTAAATATGATACTTTTACACTCCCACAGGGTATTTCCTCATGATAGAGTCTCAGACTGATGTCCAATGAGCTGTGTGGACTTATGCCACACAAATCTTGACATTCTCGTAATTCGAAGGCCTTCTTCTCCTAAACCATGTGGTGGAATTTCACATCACCAAAGACAGTTTCAAACTAAGAACAAGGAAACAGAAGTGTTTGCAATATTCACGCTATTTCATTTTCACTGGACTATTTCCAGCAGTGCAAGGAGAAGAGCGGTTAGTCATTCTGTGCTACCACTTCATTATTTAACAGCTGAAGCCTAATAAGTTTCCTTGCTCCTCCTGTTCTGTGGGAGACAAAGGCCATAATATGTCCAGGACATTTTATAAATCCTGCAGTCTGGCGGGAGGGGATATAATGTATGATTGTTTTTAATAGTGTGCTTATTAAACAAAGTTCTTCTGGACTATTTCAGGAGGCAACACAGGGCACCACACATCCAGTGTGATTCAGCCTGCACTGCACTCCTTTTAGACATTAACCAGAAACCAATAACACATCTCTCTCTCCCTCTCTGTCTCTCTCTTGCTTTCTCTCCAAGACGATTCCCCATTCATCAAACACAGCTCTTGAGAGTGATAAAGTTACTAATCCTAAATGTTGACACTTGTGCTGTTACACACACACACACACATATATGTATATACAGGCGTGAGAAAACAAGTGAGTGTCCCTTTAATTTGAACCAAGCCCTGTGGGGATTCAGCCGAGAATCAGCCTGTGGAATGCGTCGTTTGTGTGCCAGAGATTGTTCCCAGTGAGAGAGAGAGAGTAGGACACAAAAACTGGACAAAACCAACAATGTGGGATACTTGTTGCTGCTGATCTCAATGGACTGAACTGATTTATCTATCTCACCGGGGCAAGACCACGTTTCCTTTCGGATGCAGCTGATTCCTATAAACCCGGTAAGAGGCAGCGATGGTCTGCAGCGGGATCAGGTGGATAAACCCCCGTTGTTCGGCTCAATGGACTCTTCTCGGGGCATCCTGACCGCTAACCAGGCAGCTAAATGCTAATCACAGCCAAAACCAGCCGCTTCTTGTGTTTACTCCCCCCTATCACCACCACATACTGAGGGCTGGGTGCTGGGGCTGCGTTGAGGGCAGCGTGTTAACGAGGGGAACCCACTTTTTTTAAAAGTTTCGTCGATGTTTAATGTGTCAGAAACTGAATTAAATCCCAGTCACTGTTAACGACATAGCCCGCTAACTGTTAGCCACTTAGCGCGTTAGCCTGTTTGAAAAAAACGACGGGTTAGCATTTAGCTTTAATTAGCTCAAAGAGAAAGTTTATAAACGATAATGCAGGCGGGCTGGTCTTCGTATCTGAATGTTGCACAACTTCACTTCAGTTTTTATTGTCTCTCTCTGTCTCTGTCTCTGTCTCTGTGTGTGTGTGTGTGCTGCAGACTGAAGCTCAACAGGTGATTGTTAGCTTCCTTTAGCGTCCAAGATAACTTGTTATTTATTTATGTCAGCCGGCTCACACGTTGCCTCACATATATATATGAAGGGAGGACAGGACCTTTATTCACGTCCACAGTGAAATGGCTGATGTGCTGTGGAAGTAGAAGCTACCGTCTGTGTTTATTCTCCACCCCCGTTATAGTTGGCTCGGAGACCAAAGCAGCTAAGTTAACTGGCTCGGTATTATGAAACGCCATAATCCTCGATGTGTTAAATGATGTTATTCTTGAGTGTCAAATTCTTGCTTTTCTTCCTCCTCTGCCTCTCTGTTCTGACTGGGTCACATGGTGCTAATTGTGCTTGGCAGGTCTGCCGGTGCATAACAGCCCACTCCACTGACTGTGGCTCTCACCCATCTCACCCTGTTAGCACACCACTTCTCCATGCATCACTGATTTGCCTTCCAGCATGCCTGACTCTCTCTCTCTCTCTCTCTGTGTGTGTGTCTGCCCTTTTACACGAGTTAAGGTCTGACTGCCTCCACGTCTCCTGAGTACCCCTCACTTCTTAACTATCATCTACTATTCGTGGTATTTATATGCCTGATTGGTCAGGTGAAGCCCCTTAAAGGGTGGTAATCAGCAGAGGAGAAGTAAGTTGATTTTAGACAATGTGCATTTATTTAGATTTACATATATTCTGCCATGGTTTTCCCCCCCAAGCTTTATCTTCTAGTAGTATCTGTACGCAGCTGGTCTTCACCCTCCTTTTTGAGTTTCGCTTCACTGAGTCGAGAGCTCCCCAAGCCCCAGTTCCTCCTGTTACACTGCTTGATGTCATGGGCTGGTTCAGAGTTTGCCCCGAGTGTTAATGTTCGTGTCACTGTTGTCTCAGGAAATAAACACGTAATACAAATATAAACACACAGGAAGTGGGTGATGTCAGTTTTTGGCTGCTGTGTAAGAAAGTAGTACCTTCGAATCAGCTGTCGTTTCCTCTAAGTTGGTTTACTATTTGTGGTAGCAAGGTTTTTTTCTGAGAAGTTCACTGAGCAGTAGAGGGCACTTGTGGTTTAACATGGGTTTTTTTTGTCTACCATTGAAACCACAGAAAAAAATGTAGCCTAACCTACATATCGAATACTCCCCCAAGTTAGTGTCGCCTCAGATGGTGGGATGGCACCATCTGAGACGACATGCTGTTAATACTCCGCATACACCGAACAATGCTGCCTGGCACATGTGAATTTAAAATGATATGCTGTGGCCCGTAGAAAACACTGCACACTCACACTAGCCAATATGATTTGAAACATTTAATTTAGACTGAGGCAGTATTGGTGCTTTTTCTGTACATTTCCCTTTGAGCATTTTGCAATCTGAAAAGTCTAACAAAAAGAAACAGATGACGTGAAAAGGATCGTGCGATTTGGCTTTTTCTTGCTGTTTGGCTGCTCGTCTAACGGTGCAGATGTTGGTGTCCTTTTACACCAGCAAAGCAAGTTTTACTGCGTAATTCCATCATAAGAAACACAGCTTGTAAAATCTGTACGAGTAAGTATAAATATTTAATTAACCAAATCAAAACCAGCATCTACAAATACATACGCCAAGTACACACAATTCCTAGTTAATGTGACGAATCATCAGTCTTGGAAATGACAATTCCTCCTCATACTGTGTTGAATTTGACCGTGTTTGAAGGCTGTATGTTAAAATAACCATAAGATGACGCGAGGAAACACATTCTTTATTTAGAGTAAGAGTACCTAAGCCAAAGAAAATGCCGCCTATCTCCCATTCTGTCGATCGCAGTGGTGAGCTAGGCCTCATTTGCATTCGCAGCTCATTGAGTGACTCACAGAACTGTGCACTGTGCACCGCAAGTGTGCTTCTTGTGTGATAGGGTAGTTCCCAGTCAGCAGATTCTGGGTGTGGTGGTGGTTTTGATGGGGGCTGAGTGTCCCGTGGATCAGCTGCAAACCACAGCACTGCTGACATGCCCGAGTGAGTGGAACCTATCCCATTGCTCAAGAGTAGCAGAGCTGGTCGACACCCACCCGATACGTCCACATGATGATATAAATCACTATGGCGGTGTATAATGTCCTCATGTTTAAGCTGTGTATAATTTGATCTTTTAGTTGCGGAGCAGCATTAGTATATGTTCACCGTGGGTATCACACACTGTGCTTTTGCCTTAACGTCGAGGTGGTCTGTACCGTAGCTGCAGCGAGTCATTGCTGATAAGCTCTGTCATATCAGTAAACAGGAGACACACTGTTCTTGCTTATTTGAGGATATTTTTGTTTTACTTCCAATAAGCAGCATTTATTTTGAAAGCAGTTTGAGTACAATCACTTCTACTACACATTCCTCAACAGAAATAGCTTACTATTGGGTTCCTCAGCGATGACTTGAAGGGATGTTTTTGCAATGACATGGCTATTTTATTTAATCTAGATCTGCTTACCTATCAGGTCCTCTTATCTTTTCCTGTTCCTAGCAATACTTTTCCCAGCCTTGCCCAGTCAGTGTGTTAGGGCTTTGTTGAAGATGTACTACAGGCTTGATAGGCTTGATTAGACATCGAAGGCTTGTTTAGCTTCTTGTCTGAAAGAGCCAGGCTGGCAGAGAGGCTGGAATTTTACATATTAGTTGGAGCGAGGTGGAAAATTATCTCCGGGTCTGGCTGCTTGACTGCTGATGTTTGTTGGCTTACTGACTTCTGTGCCCATTAACTGCTATAAAGGTAAAAAAAACACAATATTTTCAGTGAAATCTGATGTGGATAATTTAATCTGAAGTAATCGTTTCTGAAATGCTGTTGTTTGTATTCAGAATCAAAAATACAGCACTATTAAATTAAGTGTTAAATTAAATGTAAATGTTTTGTGTCCACATTGGGACTCAGTGGACTTGCACTGGTTCAGTTCAGTACTGCTGGATCCAACTCAAAGAGGGACACAGCACTGCTGGTGAAGATTACGCAGAAGCCAGTTTCTGTTTTCGTTTCCTTCAGCTCAGCCAGTGATTGTTCATTTATTACCAGAGAAAGGGACAGGGAGGGGGTAGGTTAGAGATTATGAATGAACTGAAATGAGTATAAAGAGAATAAGTCGTTGGGGCTAGATCTGAAATGTAATAGATGAGATTACAATAACACTCTCACAGGACTCGCATAGTATATTCTCCTATTCTTAATACCTCTAACTTCACCCACGCACACAAATTATTATCTCTTACGGCTTTATGCCTTTTACTGCACAGGAAGAAGAGTTTTTGTCATTGTCTCCATTGTACCAGCACACAGAGGAAGACAAGAGGAATAAGCAATAGAGGCCTTTACAGAAGCCCGTACAGCAGTTAGTGGAAGTTGCTAGTATTGGTCATGTTTAAACTGTGTTGTTCACAGGAGTGCCACCTTTGTCAACAAGCTATGCAACCAGATTCAAACAATCGCCGTACTGCCTTGTGCCTTGTGTAACAGGGTAAATGTAAAGGGGGGCAGTGTTGGGGAAACGTTCACTTTGTTACTTGCTATAAGCAGAAGTTACTGGTCAGGTTTGAGTTAGATTTCCACATGAACCCGAAATACGTGTTTGAGAAAATAACTAATTACCGGTAAACTGAAAATAATGACAAAAAATAAATCTGAAAACTTTAACACACACACAGAAAACAATGTAATTTCTAATTTCACACATTTCTTTATTTTATTTTTTTTACCCTGGTGGTTTTCAGTTTTGAATGACCCATTTGGTGCAGTCGGTTTACGTCTGCTTTTCACTAATTGCTGCATTAAATCAAGCTCTACACATAGAGGCAGTTCTTGTTTTAGTCTGTATATGTATTTCCACACTTGTGTACATCTGTGTAGGTTTTGCATTGATGGCCATGTGTTTTGTGTCAACGTCAGCCTGGTTTTACCTGGCTGGGTTGGGACCAGACTTTGCATAGTAATAACTTCATTTGTTTGGCCAGCCTAGTCCCTCTGGATAAGCTTCCTTTGCTTACCTTATACAGTATGTAGCCGGGCTGAAGGCTTTAATTGTTTTGTTTTACCAGCGTTTTCTCTTTCCAGTAATTGAGTAGAACTTACTTCCCACAGTATGTTTTTCCAAAACAACTATGATGTGTATCTATGTTCAACATCAGAGATACAATCAGTCATTCCATTTAAACCTGAGCAGAAGCTTTGTTTTCCATGCAGGGAGGAAGGTTGATAAAAAGAGAAACTTATTACGGAGAAAAAGGGAGTTCCTGACTGTGTGAATCTGTATCTTGTACATGTAAACAAACAAGCCACAGAATTACTGCCGCACCAGTCTCATGGAGCTAGAAGTGATTCTTTGACTTTGTGATGAAAATATTTGTCTGAAAACAAATACTTGACTTTGTGATTGTTGATAGCGGCAGCTGAAAAAGCTCTGCCTCCAGGCGTTTGTTTCAGCACCATTGAAATGCTTTGTTTGAATCACAGCCTTTTGCTTTGAATGCTGCCTTCAGGGGCCGTTGGATTGGTTTTGAAATTTCAAACTTGGTTTACTGTGTCATAGTTCCCATCCGTATTATAATCCAAAAGCCACCACTGGTGCCTCTATACACTGTGTACTCTTTATCTAATGCAACACTGACTCTGTGTTCTTGTCCTGCTGTGTTTCAGATTGTGCTGTGAACGTTCACAAGAGCTGCAAGTCTCTGCTGGGTGAGTGCACCAGCAGCAAGAATAAGGTAAACACTACACTGGAGCGTAGAAAAACAGGACCTAAGGCTATAGTGAAGTCATCCTTAGTACTTTAACTTCCACTGTGCTCTATTCTTTTGCAGATAGACTAGGTATATACATGAACATGGTCAGACATTGGATCAGTAGCACAGACAATGAATTTCAGAGTGGTTCCCCTGTAGATAACTCATTCTATGGTAACGAAAACAAAATGATTCTTATACTTATACACTAATGAAAACACACCTGTTATTACCGTATATTCCATTTCTGCCAATAGATCCTCCTAAATGTTACACACTGGACCTTTTTAAATAGATGTATCCTTTGTTGTTGCTGCAGTATATTGTCAGTCTTGCTGTAGATGCTTATGATGGCAATTTTTAATAACAGTTGCATAGTTTATGGTTTTAACACATTTTGTGTTGTAGCATCACTGTGACACTAAATACATGTGTCATGATCAGACAGTGTTTTTCATTAATTATATATTGAAAGAATGTTGTTTTCACCATCAGCAAACACTTCCTGCACCTGCAACTACAGTTCTGGCTTTTTCCACGTTTTCATTGTTACATTTTGAAGGAGGTACATATTCGCAATAGAGGAACTGTCTATATAGCAACAAAGCCTCCACATGTAGCTACTGCAGCACCTCAGCAGAGAAGCATAAATCCATTTTTGGCAGGGAGAGCTGTGCATTCATTCGGGACAGGGCTTCTGAGACAACTCGACTAAAGATTACGTGCCTCTGTCTACTCTTATGAATCTGTCTGAGATGGACTTTGCTTGTTAAGCATAGTCCTTGGCCATGTGAGCAGTCTGTTCTGTAAAGAAAGTACAGTAAGACCGCAATTTCTAGGCATTTTGTAATCTGTCACTCAGCTGCAAAAAAACTTGAAAGAATGCCCTTGTCTTTATTTATTTTCTCCACGCAGAGAGAATCTCTACCGAGGGCTGGCTCATCAGGATCTCCTAATCTTGGTAAGCAGAACATGCATGTACAGATTTACCCCATGGAAATCCCACTGACCACAAATAGTTGGATGAGAAGATGGTTTAGTCCCTATGTGTCAAATTAAAAAGCTGGTTGCCTCTCTGGAGAGTTGCAGAGGATTATCTGAAGATGGAATCATCTTATTTCTTTCTCTGACTTACTGTATGTAATGTATGTGTGTCTGAGTCTTTGTGGTGTATGTGTGTGTGTACGTGCATCTTTGTGTGGGTCTCGGTGAGTGCGTGTGTGTGTGTGTCTACGTCAGGATGCCTGCATACAACCAGAGAAAGAGTGTGTGAGAGTGTGTGTGTGTGTGTGTGATGTGCCTTTTTTTATTTGAAGTCTGCCCTCCGAAGCGCGAAATGAGAGGGTCTGATTTATTATTTTTCTGGTGGGCTCGCTGTGAGGAAGCGTTGCTACACAATTACTGAGTGAAAGGGGGGGTTAGGACAGGAGGAGGAGGTGGGGAGCTCAGGGATTCATTCCAGCCAACATAATTACCAATTAGATATTGGAATGTTAAAAAAAGAGAAAAGAAAGAAAGAGGAGTGCCAAAGAGGCTAAAGCAGGAAGTGTAGGACGGAGAGGGAAGGAGGAGGAGGAGGAGGAGGAGGAGGGCATTTCAGAGGGCAGAGGCTGAACGATGCAAGGGGCCGAGTGCTGAGGAGAAGAGGGCGTAGAGGCTAGCTGCATGCACGCACCACTGGGCCGAGGGATTTTACCCTCAGCCATCCACCTGCACCACAGATTAATGGTTTACAGGCTGCACTAACTGTTGGTGAATTATGAGCTAAGGCTGAGCAGATGCTGGCACACACACACAAACAACCCGGCTCTATAGAGCTCTTGGCGACGTCTCAGTTTTTGCCTTTTCATAATGAATGTTTCCTTTGTTGTATCGATGTGTTTTTATGTGGATGTGAGTGTTTGATGAAGTTTTTCTTGCAGCAGGTGCAGACTACTCGGGTCAGACCTACAGCCATTCGCCCTACACCTCCTACAGTGAAGCCTGGAGGTTCACCAACTCCAGCATACTGGGTGAGTAAGGACACACTGACAGAGGTACTATATGTACTGATGTTTCTGCACCCAGCAAATCTACCTCTGAATATATTTATTTTTGAGTTAATAATTATAACATTTAACATTTCATCATAACAGCTGCAGGAAGCAGCCTCAGTCAAATAAGATAATCACATTACTAACTAGGATTCACTTACAGTAAGACGTTGTGCCCCACATTATTTAAGTTGTTTTATTTACTTTACTTTTAACATATTTCACATTTGTTTAGTCCAGAAAGTCCATGATAAAACAATACTAAAAGGCAAACAAAGCAAGGAGATGATTACTAAATTCATAATTCAATTTAAATTCCTTTTACAGATTATTAAAGGAAATATGAAGGCATCTC